GCGGCAGAATCAGAGACAATGCAAGATCAAGAGAGAGTATTTAAAAGGCAGTGATATCGCAGAGTATTTGTGTAAGATAAGTCAATAGAGAAGGGAATTGATTTGCAAGAGAAGGGGATCCATTGCAGAATCAGTGTTCTTGAGTAATTGATAGAGGGTGGAACCTAGTGGGTGGGTGGAGGGGTTTGATTGTAACTTACTTTGACCTAAAGACTGTTTCATCAGACACTTGAATGGTTTGCCCCACTGCCTCCTTTACATTACGCTAAAGGTCTGCCCCTGTGTCCTAGCCACAAGCTACCTTTCACCTAAGAAACATAAATACCCTTCTGACTTTTCAATCTCACCATGTTTATACACATCTAGTATTTCTTTCCTGTACATACTATTGAATAAGGAAAGAATATGCTAGCCACTTTGAATTTTGATTTGCCAATATTATCATTCAGAAAGAACCTATCTAGAAATGAAAAATATTAAGAGTGTAACAAACCACAGTTGGAGCAAGAACTTAATACAGAAGCCGTGATGGCAAGGACCAGTGTCTGTCTGGTTCCCCATTTACCATTGCACCCCAATGCCTAGCAGAGTTCAGCACTTACCAAAATCATGTGTTGAAAAAAACGAGTGCATGAATGGGTGCCATATTTTTAAGGGTAACTTGTGTCACAAAAGGCCCAAAATGCAAAGTCTTGAACACAGTAAATGTTCTTTCTCCCATAACCACCTAAAACAGGAGTTGAGAGCCAGGGGGAGAAGTGGAGGACTTGGTCCATACAGTTTTTCGAGACCAGGCCAACTGTCTCCCTCTTCTTCAAGTAGCTTCCAGCACACTACGGTGGTTTTCGTCTCCATTCCAACTCACAGAAGGACATCATGAGCATCGAGGAATGTACCTGCCGGGGTAGTTTATCAGCCAGGCCTGGAAGCCACACACGTTGCCTCACACAGCCTATAGGAGAGGAGTTAATCACATGGCCATATCTCATTGCAAGAGAGGCCAGGAAATGTTACTGGGCCTGGGGCTACTTATTTCTGTGGAAGGAAAGTAGAGTGGATTTTGGTGGATAGCTAGCAAACTCTTCTATCGGCATTCTCGTACCCTACCAGTAGTTCTTTTTAAATATGGATTAAGTTATACGGTTTTCTGCAAGAAAACATAAAATGTACAAAAAGAAATTCAAATCCACATTAATCCTTCGTTATAAGAACATATCAAATATTCTCCTTCTCTGAGAGCTCAAGGTTAGAATAATGAACCTATTTTGACTAGCAGTGTTCTCTGCAGCCTTCAGACTGAGCTGTTTGTATATTGAGAGAAGGCATTTTTTTTCAGTGTCTTCTATAAAGGCTTTGTCAGCATTTTACAGTTCTAGAAGACAAATTTGTCTTTGCTCCAAGTGTTTTCAAGTGCTTCAGTGGTCAAACAGGTTTTGAGTCTAGCTTTTAATGCCAAAACAGAGAGGGGGGCCAAGGGGAAGAATTGAAAATAAATTCCACAGTCTCAGGCTAATTTTTTCATGGCTTTTGCTCTTTTTAGATTTCAGGATATTTTTATAATTAAGGAAGGTGGTTCTTAAAATTCACTTCCTTCTGACACGTAAAAACTGTCCAAATAAATTATATCATAGCAGATATGTGTGTTTTGAAAGTCACTGGTAAGCCTTAAATGAAGCAGAATTTTATGGATTGTAGACTAAGCTTTATCTGTTTTTTTTAATACAGTTCAAGAAGCAGTTTCATTAATTTATACTTAAAGCCATAATCTGTTCTTTGCTATTTCTTAAAATGACCTATTTAAAAGAGCCTAAGTTTAGAAGACCAATTAAAATAAAAATGAATGCAATAAAACATTTTTAAAGAGTTTTATTACTTTAACCTTTAATAAATGAAAACATTAATGAACCACTCTTTTACCACACCTAGAGAAGTGTTTGGGACATAAAACAGTTCAAAATCTTCAGAAGGCATGGAGTCAGTATTTTTTCATAAGACAAATACTATTAACAACTGCAGAACATTCGAAAGTCCAGTAGCATACTTCTCATACAATGGAAGTCTTCTAATTCACCTGTTATTTTAACCTACACATTCTGTTTCCTCTTTTCTCATCTCACTGAAGTGGAGGAATTGCTGATCTATTTCTTTATCTTTCCTTCCTAAACCTTAGGCAAAAAATGGAAGTTAGAATTTATAACATGTTTTGTGCCCATGGAAATAGGTACTTTTGTTACTGTATTCAGAGATCTTTACTACTGTTGTTTCATTCTGAAAAAAATTGAGGTAGATTGCCAGTTGTAACACATTCTTCACATGTTCCTGTTCCCAAAAGGTATAGGGGCAACCCAGCTGCCTTGGCAAAGGAACACTGGGTGCTCGCTTGCTGCTTTAAGTGAAAGCAGCTCATGAATATTCAACAGTTTCAAACGTGTAGACAACATGAAAGTTGGAATTGTCATAAAGTCTTAGGAATATAGAACAGTTTTGAAAGTCACCCTTTGTCTATTACATCTATAAAAACTCAAATCCTTGGGGAGTTCTCAAACATAGGGATCAAACATGTTTTAAAAGTGGGGTCGGGGAGGGAGTTGAAGTTATTGCTTACTTATTTTAACCCTGGAGAACAGCTAGACTTTCACACATTTTACAACCGTTTTTTGCAAAGCTTTCCATTATTAACATAGCTATCTTTTTTCTATAATTCTCAAAATCTATAATCAATTATATCTTGGTTCTTTCTATTTAGAAAAAAAATCTTGTAGCATCTTACTGAAGTATCTTTAAATTCATATAATATTATAGCTTATTTTCTGTTCTCTTTCTGAATATTTCTTAGCCGTAATGTGAAGATTTTTATTTATTCAGAAATAGTCATTCGCATATAATTAAAAAATGTATTTCATTGACACAGTTCTAAAATTATCTGAGGGTAGAAGGTTGTACTTTCCCTAGGAATTCATGTTCCATAACTTTAGGAAAACCTAATACTGTTGCCCAAGATCTTACACTAAAGATTTTGATAATCTATTAAAGATTACCAATGAGAACAAACAAAGATTGTCTGTCATAGATATATCTCTTGTTTTTCAGGAAGATCACATTTGGGTAATAAGAGCAATTATGCTTTGCTTCAAGGAGAGCCATTTTAGAGAGGCCTCTTCTAAATATATAATTGAATTTTGTCATAATTTTCATTTGTCAGATCGATTCTCAAATCAACTGTGTAAATTATCTAAGTGTCTAAATTGATGTTTAGTAATGGAAGACACAAACACTCCAGTTCCTGGGGACATTTCCTTAACTGGAGAAATAATAGTAAAATATTTTAGGGGAGGTGGATCTCACAGTTTCAGAAATAATAATCATGGCATCAACAACAATACCTAATATCCTTTAAATGTACTGGTATTATTCTAGTGCTTATACATCTGTTATCTGCTTTAATCTTCATGACCACCTATATTAAGTCTTGTGATCTCCATTTTTCAGAAGAGGAAATTGAAGGTCAGGTAGGATCATAACAGTTGGTAAATGATAGAGCTAGGATTCAAACCCAAACATTCTGACTCCAGAGTCACCATTCTATCATGTTATACTTACTGTGTCTCCCTTTGTTTCTACTGTTTGATGGAGCCCAGGGTTTTAAACTTTACAAATTCCAGGTAAGTGGGTCAAACCAAGGTAAATGGAAAATAATTCATTCATTTACCGAGCCAAAGATTAGTTTTCTACTCCAATTATGTGTTTATTTTGTAAAGATTTTTATATATGTCAATTTCATCAGATTATTGTGAACCTTAGTCAGATTTACTTTGTGAAGGGTTTTTCATGATGGAAGACTATAAATATGTAGATGAACACATGTTGCTTCAATATTATTATTCTAATGATACACAATAGGTGGGTTGTGCTTAATGTCTTTTTAATGCAGATACGAATCTGTGAGTTCAGTGAAATTCAAGTTCAGATCTCCAAGGCAGGTATTTTTTTTTTTTTCAGTTTAGTGAATGTAAATGTGTTCTCATTTGCTTATTTGTAATCTTCCTTCATGGGGATGGCTTACTTATTATGTGCTCAGTTGCCTGAATTGTATTTAGAAAGCTTTGGCCACATTCACAGAGGCAGTCAAAAAACCTTACAGATATGCCTCCCGATAAGTATTAAAGCCCTCTTGGCTAGCCTGAAATACATGCTATTCAAAGTAAATTTCCTGTTTATATTTTTCCCATCTTAGCTGATATAAAGATTAATATTAAATATCACAGAAACAAAGGTTCTTTACGCCATTTCTTTTTATGGATAGTTTACAGTTTAGCTATGTGTTTTCCCACTTTATATTTGCAGTTTATACTGAAAATATGTTAAATGAACAATGAATGTTACGTTGGTTTCTGATTAGATTCAGGGTCAGATTCCCCAGTTCTAGTTCTTTTTCTTTTTCTTTTTTTCTTGTTTATTTATTTATTTTGAAAGAAAAAGCACAAGTGGGGAAGGGGCAGAGAGAGGGAGAGAAAGAGAGAGAAAATCCCAAGCAGGCTCCACACTATCAGTGCAGAGCCCAATGCAGGGCTTAAACTCACAAACCATGTGATGATGACCTGAGTCAAAGCTGGACACTCAACTGACTGAGCCACCTAGGCGCCCCTCCTTAGTTCTAATTCAAATGCTGCCACCCTGATGTTCTGACAGTCTGGGTTTTGCTATGGTTAGCTCTAAGATATGGATGATACCTAACAAGGACATTATAGGATATAGTGATCATTTCTATGATGGTATCAGATACCTTCATTAAGGGGATGATAAAACTCAACATCCAATTTTATGCAAGTGGCATCTACTAAACTGTCATAATTTTACTGGTTTTAACAAAGATAGAAATAGGACTTGAATTAGCTTATATCTGCATATTATCTGATTTTACTATTTTAAATAAAGGAGGATCTTCTGTTGCATGTTTCTTACCATTCTTACTGGGTAACCAATAATATGTTTTGTTACAGAATATGGAAAGCCTCAACTCCACACCATCTCATGAGAGGGCTGGACCTGATGATGTTGAACTGATGTCCGACGAAAGGTAATTTTAGCATTTTCTCCTCAAATTGCTTACAAGAGCATGAATAGCTTTTTTTTTTTTTTTCACTTAATGCAGTGTGCCTTAAAAGAACTAAAAAGAATAGAATTAAAAGACTGTATGTTCACCAACAGTATTTTGTAGCATGGGAAATGCTTGGAATAGAAAATCTGCCATGGTGCTCTTAAAGACTACTGTATGCATTGTTGTATTTCTAGTTTTGTTTTATTTTGATTTTTTTGTTTTATTTTGTTTTCGAATTTTATCAGAATTTAATTTAGAGCCACTCAGCTTCCTTTTAAAATGAATGAAGTCATAAATTTCAATGGATGAAAAGCATTGTTCTAAAACAGATTGACCTTTTATGATATTTTGTTGTTGCTGTTACTTGTAGCAAAGAAAATGAAAAAGACGGCAGACATACCCAGCATTTTGAGGTGAGTAGCTAAGAAAATTGTGACTGTAATGGGGCTGTTCATACATTCCTGAGAGCACATGGGAAGCATTATTAGACTGTCAGTAAGGGATAATGAGATTAAGGGACAGGACTGTGATTGGTTTTCAAAAGGCAAATACTGAGACATAAAGATTCCATGAGAAATCATAAGAACTCTTTTCTTTGCTTTTTAAATTCTTTTTTTTAATATGAAATTTATTGTCAAATTGGTTTCCATAGCTTTTTAAAATCTTTTATTTTGCTTGCAGAGAGAAACTTCAATAGCATGGAGATTTCTCTTTAGATTTTCTGTAAAATAAAACAAAAAGCCAAATCTACCGGTTTGATTTTTTTTTATGTTTTATACATTTTTTAAGTGATTGAAATAAATAGGCAGTGAGTTTAGTGGATCTATCACAGAGACTTATCTCATTAATTTTCAAATTAAGATAAACTCAGTGTGAGTTACTAAACCCAATTTGTTTTCTGAGTTTTGTCTCATTTTAAGTAAGCCATGGAGAAAAAGTATCTAACTCCCTTATGTTGTTTATATCTTAAAGTTTTGGTGATTTCCTGTATTCCTTGTTCTCCAAGGGCATCGCCATGCTGGCCAAAATGATTTCCCTTTTCCCAACCCTGGCTTCCATTCAGTGTGCTTAACCCCATTTTTCATTCATGTATGTGTACATAATCTACTTCCAAATGCTTTCAACTCTACTTTCAATGTTTTTATCAATTTTTCTCTTTGGCCAGATTTAAAGCATTTTTCAACCTGTTCTTGAGTTCTGAATCTTGAAATACTAATTATACATAGAACTCTTCCTCTAACCCAGTGATTCCTAATCTTTATTGGACATTTTCTAATTCACTGATGGATTTACTCAGGAGCATGTATTGAGTCCTGCTGTGGACACATACTGTGTTAGAAGCTGCGATTCAGTAACGACTCCAGTCCCTACCCTCCATGGAGTTTTACAATCCAGGAGACTGAGAATCTAAAAGCTGTAGACTTCTTCTTAGAAAAATGCACACTTTGTGTACAATTGTCATAAAAAAGCTGGGAATTAATTGCCAACTCCCCCCGTTCCCTGCCAATGCTGTGGACTCATCATATTCCCTATGTTCAGTTCTTGTCATGTATACTTCATCGACCTAGCCAGATAATGGAAGGGGAATGCTTCCTCTTTCTGACTTCCAGCTGCTGGGCCACTTCTTTCATCTCTTATTTCCAACCCATTTAAGCTTCCTTCCTTGGGACCCAGGCAATGAGCTGACATCTTTTTCCTTGACACCAGGTACCTTTGTCAGAGCACAGTTTCCCCGTGATAGCGTTGTTTCCTTTTTCTTCTCGTTTCACCCTCTCTCTGTTCTTTTCCTCTACTCACAGCAAGCACCTAGTCATCATGCCATTGAACGTTACTTTAAAGAAAATTGCTTCGCCAGCCTCCTAGAGAGGTCTCCTCCGTTTCCTCCCTTTTCAGCCTATTATCCTCTATAAGATAAAAGGATATAGAGCAGCCTTTGTGGATGGACTTCATAACATTAACTCGTAAATTCCAGGTGGCACCGAAACTCAACCCATGCTGAACTCAGTTTGCCTTGGTATTTTGTGGGCAGCTCCTATGGCAGTGGATGAATCATGGGGAAAAAATCTCAAGTCCTTCTTCCATGTGCCAGGTCCTATTCTTACATGGGTCCGCCATGTGCAGTTACCAGTCAGCACCCGGCCCCCGGTTGGCTCTCCTGAAGCACTCACTATTAATAATCATTGCCACCATAATAAGTTCAGCTAGGAGATAAAATTAGGCAGTGAGTTAAAATCTAGCTCGGCAATCCATGTCACCTTTCTTTCACAACTGCCCCACAGGAGAAAAACAAGCCATCACTCCATAAGATTAGGATGATGTTTCTCCCCATGAAGGCATGGGTTTCTTTCACTGAAGGAAATGTATATTTAATTGTTAGTGATGGACTGTGAAAAAGATCCATTTTCCATTTTTAAAGCTCTTTCCCTTGTTTGCCACGTATTGTGATTGTTTACCATTCAACATGTGCAGCACTTTCTAGAACTTATTTTACAACCTAAATAGTTAATCTGGTCTTCTAGTAATACCACAATAATTCCTAAATCGCAGAGATGAAAAATAAGTCTAGGCTTTGGTTACCCCTCCTAGAATTCTGTGTAATTGGTATTCCATTTCACACCTCCTACAGCATCAGATTGAGAGGCCAACACTTACATGCCCACCATGGATGGATGTGATGTTGTTTCCAGCTACATTTTTCATGAAGACAATTTGTCTTCCTTAATACCGTCCTTTAAATTTTTCCTTACATATTCTTGAGATCCATGTGAGGTTAAGACAACAAATGACAGCTGTTGGGAAAGGTGGTCTTTCCTTCTTGTTTTGAGTCACGTTTCCATGAGAATGAGGAACACTGGTGATGCTCCTTACAGGGACAGGTAGGCAGAGAGAAGCTGGTTTTAGAATCTGCTGCTCAGACACAAATGCAGGCGCAACTGTGACTTTATTTTTGATAATCATTTTGCAGCCCTTAAATGTGTTTTTGTTTGAATGCATGTGTTGACAACTGAACATCGGTTTATCACTTTGTGGCACATCTTTTTAATTTTTTGAATCAACTCATCTTATCCAAAAAGAGAATCTGCTTGAGATCTCCGATGGTCAATGGCAAAAAAATTTAGAGTCCCTTCAAAATGCCAAAAATTAAAGTATGATTTCTTTGGGTAGGTTTTCAAGAGGCTGGCATTTTAATAAAATATCCGGGGGGCACCTGGGTGGCTCAGTCTGTTAAACATCTGACTTCAGCTCAGGTCATGATCTCACGGTTCATGAGTTTGAGCCCCACTTGGGGCTCTGTGCTGACAGCTCAGAGCCTGGAGCCTGCTTCTGATTCTGTGTGTGTGTGTCTCTCTCTGCTCCTCCCCCACTCATGCTTTCTCTCTAAAAAATAAATAAACATTTAAAAAATTTAAAAAATAAATAAAATAAAATAAAATACCCCATTTGGGCTTTTTGAAATGAGGTAATGTAAGGAAGAGCCTAGCACACTGTTCCCTGTACAGATGGAATCCAGAGTCTTTGTTCTTTTGTTTCTTTTTAAATTCAGTGAACAACTGGAAGCATCCAGAAGAAAGGTCGTCCTTAAAACCAGCAATTTCTAGATTCTAAAAGGTATCACTGAAAATACAGATTTTCGAAGTTCTTACAATGGAGTTTCAACCTTATGCTTCAGTGATTCCTTCTGATAAGTTCTTTCCTTTTGGGGAGATATTTCATGCCTCTGTATAAAATCCAGAACATGAAACCTATAACTTTATACTTAATACTTTATCAAGAACGCAATACCTGTAAGAATTATTGAGTGCATGGGACACCTGGGTGACTCAGTCGGTTAAGTGTCAGACTTCGGCTCAGGTCATGATCTCGCAGTTTGTGAGTTCAAGCCCCGCGTCAGCCTCTGTGCTGACAGCTCAGAGCCTGGAGCCTGCTTCGGATTCTGTGTCTCCCTCTCTCTCTGCCCCTCCCCAACTTGTGCTCTGTCTCTGTCTCTCAAAAATGAATAAATGTAAAAAAAAAAAAAAAAAAAAAAAAACTTCAAGAATTATTGAGTGCATGGAAGGGTATTACCTTATCTGGGAGAGGTCATTTTATGTCAGAAGTATAAGGTTAATGAAGTGTTAAATTCTTTCAAGATATTTTTACATTCTTTATGCTTTCTAAGCCTACTGCTTAGAAGAGCTTAGAAGCATACCTTTGATAACAAATAAGACATTCATAGTAAACAAAAGTCCATTTCCCTTTTTTATCCTGCTTGAAAAAAGAAAGAGAGGAGTAAGAGAGAAGACAAGGCTTTCCAATCAAGACTGAAAATTAATATTAATTATCAAACATCTTAAGTCTAGTCTTTTATTTGCCCTGAGCAGGATTGAGATAAATTCTGTAATATCCCTGTCAACAAGGATTTATGAAATGAATCACCATGTTATTTCAACTTTGGTGTATTGTATGGAAGCCTTAGGATTTTGTTATTATTGGTTTTAATGTTAGAACAAGAATGATTTAAAGGCTCTATTTATTTAGATTCACTTCCCATTTCACCCAGTCTCTAACGGCTACTGAAACTTTGGAATTCCCATGAACTTTGGAAATTTGTTATGTCCACTTTCTTTTATTGTCAGGCCAAACAGTAAATGTTTATGGTTCCATGTGGTTCTTCTGTTAACACTGTGTGGTTCCTTCCTGTGCAAACTGCATTACACAGTACACTCTCTGATATCATCGCTCCTAGCTCTGGTAAGCCATTAGGCTACTTATTTATATCCTGTGCAGGGAGGGAGAAGGGATGGAACAAAAATTCAACTATTTGAAGTCAGGGAAGGAGCAAGATCAGTGAAGTCTGAGAATTGAAAAAGCCAGGCCCAGTCTGATAGGGCAAGTCTTGACAAAGATCAGGTGAATAGTAGTTAATGGTTCCTTGACCTGAACATGGAATGTCACCTGAGGTCCCAGGCAAGGTGAGCTCTCTTGAGTATTTGCTCCCTGGCATCCTGTTTTGTTTTGTTTTTTTCTTTTATAACATATGTGACACTGGTATTTACATGTTCAGTGTCTTCGTTCCACACTGAATTCCATATCTTGTTAGTTCCTGTAATCCCAGTGCCTAGGACATAGTATGTGTTCAATAAACACTTGCCAGATGAATGAATGTGAAAGGGAAGTAATGAATAATTGGAAATAGCATTTTTTTACAGTAACTATGGGCCAGCCATTTTTGTATATGTTTTTCACTTAATCTTCATGCCAACCTTATGAAGTCTTGCACTTGCATTATAGAAAAAAAGCTTTAAAAAAAAAAAGAAGAAGCTAAAGCACAAAGAGGTTTTCATTGAAGGTCTTGCTGCTAGTTGGCCAGGATTGAAACTCAGGTCTCCAACTCTTCAACCCATCCCCTGTCTCCCACACCACACTGTTGTTTAGTGGGTTTCTGTAGGGCACAACATTTTTGACAAGGGTTTGGTGTGTGACCCCACGGCATAAGGATCTCTGAGTTGAAAATTGTGAAAAAGCAGTAGTCCCCCATTATCTGCGGTTTCACTTCCCGTGATCTCAGTTACCCACAGTCAACCCTGGTCCAGAAGCAGATGATTGTCTTTCTGACATGTCACCTGAAGGTCAACAGTAGCCCAACACTGTGTCACAATATCCACACGATTCACCTCGCTTCACCTCGCATAGACCTTTGTCATCTCACAGCATCACAAGAAGTGTAAGTATCTCACAGTAAGATATTCTGAGAAAGAGATCACATTCACATCACTTGTATTACATTATACAGTGCAGTGGTTCTATGTTATTAGTAGTTATTGTTCATCTCTTACTGTGCCTAATTTA